TTGGAAACAAGATAACTAGGACTGTTCACTATTTGGATAAAACTGAATTGTCCAATTGGACAATTTGGATTGGACTATCTGGTTCGGATATACGGACTTTTGGATTGGTTTTCAACAAAACCGAATTATTATTTTGGATTTCGGATTGGTTTTGGTTTATAAAATAAGAACCGAATAAACTTTTATTATTTATTTATTTTTAATATATATCTATAGTTATTTATTAATTTTGTAATTTATCCTTTAAAATAGGTTCAAAACGTTTCACCCAATAAAAAACATTAATATGCATTTTCTCTCAAAAGTTTTCTATCTATAAAATATTTAACTATAATATACTTTCTTAGTAGTTGTTTATAAATTTCAAATCACGACTAAATAATTTGTTTTCACTTCTTTGTAAAATTGGGTAATATTATAATTATATGCCGTTTTAAAATTTTTCGTTTTTGAAAACCAAATTTAAAAAACCGATCCAACCGAATTGTAATTGGATTGGATCGGATCGGATTTGAATTTAGTTTGGACTATTCGGATCCATGTTTTGAAAACCGAAATCAATTTGGATTCACTTGATTGGATCGAATCAAACCGATCCATCCAAACGAACACCCCTAAAGATAACTACTCTTTTGAAATGTATCATTTTTCAAGCAGGAGGTGAGGGGAAAAACCACATGGTTGACTCCTTATGCATTGTCGTAAGTAATGCCTCAAGATATAGATTATATGATCATGCTTACTTTCTTGGAATTATATGGGGTTTGTGATGCATTCAAGTTTCTACATTTGTTCTGATTTATTTCTGTTTGTTTATTTAGTTTCATGATTTCATCTCATACTTACATATATTTTGTTTTAATATGCAGACTCTCTTTGGTTTTATCAATCTTAGACTCTATAATTCGTGAAATTTGAAATATCCATCTACCCTTGATCCTTGACAATAAGCTTTGGCTGCAGGTATGAATTTTCTATCACATGGTAAATTATTACTGGATATCTCATATGTTTTATTAACTTTTTATAATTTATGCAGATTTATATGTTTTTACAAGTTATGTGGATTAACCCAACTTCAACACCAACTTCCTGCTAATGAACCTAGTGCATTAACGCACCTTGGCTTTCTTGCTTTTCCCAAATGCCTATTTTTTACTTACTAATAGTTTATTTATAATTATTTTTTTATATAAAAATATATGCAATTAATGGATGGTATAAAATTAGAATGAACTGATAAATATCGTTCAAGTATTATTTATATGATAATTTGTTTTTAGAAAACTTAAGTTAATTATTAACTGCCTTTTAATAAATTGTGTATTCATAGGAAAAATTGGTTATTGATAGGGCGTTCAAAGGACCTGCTAAAAGAACAGAGCAAATTTCTGCTGATAGAAGGGAGGTTGAATCACTGTCAAATTGGCTATCGAGGATGACATTTTTCATGATATTAGGTTTTACAATTTAAAACAAAAATACTCCATTTTTATAAAAAAAGTAGGCAATGAAATTGAATGTGAGTTATGTTTTTTAGGGAAAAAAGGTGGGGATTTATTGAGCATTAGTCTATTTTATCTTATTAAACATATGGGTTTGAGCTTGGGAAATTGACAAAAACTAATATTTGTTGATACAATATATGTCTTCTTTTATTTATGTCAAAATATTCTATACACGTTTCATTATCCGTTCAAACTTTTTAGTCGTTTAGGAATTAAAAGGGAAATAACTATTGCTTTCTAACATTTTATCCATTCAAAGAGTTAAAAGGTGACGTAACTATGGCTTTCTATAGACACTCTCAACACATATGGAATAATGAAAGAGATAACATCTCTGTAATTTATATCCACCTAAAACTAAACCACATCCCTTAACACATATGCAATAATGAAACCACATATGCAATATCTACCTAAAACTAAATCATGTGTAGTATTAACCGTCAACCAAAAAAACACTAATTGGCGTTGCATTGTTTGTGCTCGTATTTTCATAACTTTGTATTAAAACATTATTCGTCCGAACTAAAATATAAAGGGTTGTTACATTACATGCCTTATTTATGTCAATCCCACTTGTGGCCCCCTATTGAGTTTGGTATAAATTTCACTTGGTTATAATAACTAATTGAAGGGTTATTTCAACACATTTTTCTTCGGTTCCAAATAATGGTTACAATGAGGTGTAATAATAGTTGAAAAGAAACTATCCGCTGAAAATAAAAAACTGCAAATAGAAACAGACGACGATAAATTATTCTTCCTATTCACCAAAAGAAAATTTATCGCTGAAAAAAAATATATTCACCGTTACTGAAGGGAAACAAATCACCAAAAGAAAACTATTTCCCAATCAAACAAATCAAAACTTTGGAATAAATTCAGATGTTACGGTTATTTGGAGTTAATATTATGAGTGATTAATTGCAATTTGTAAAGAAGTCACACAAATGGATTTATCAGCGTTTAAGGATTATAAAAACTCAAAAAATATCAATGTAACTTGGTTAAAACTTAATGAATTTTATGATTTGATCTGATAGCCACAAGGAAACTATTCAGTGAAATGAATTAATCATCGCCCATAAACAATTCGTCGCCGCCGTTTTGCGCGGGTAAACGACTAGTATATATATATTATATATATATATATATATATATATATATATATATATATAATTTATTATAGGTTTATTTATTTATCTTTGTTTTTATGATTTAAAAATCTTTTAATATTTTTGAAGTCATATTCGAATATACGGTTTAATATTCATTTTTCACGTTTTGATCGTTCACATTATATAACGTTTTTTATGTTTTGCTCGAATAAACAAATTAAAATTGAACCTTGGATAACTATCGAACATCAAATATAATTATTTAATATTGTTTTTTTATGTGCTTTTCGTTTACATCAATCGTTTATGTGTTTTACTTTTTTTATTCAGCTTTAAGAGGTTTTAATGTTTTTTTGTTACTTTTTAAACAAATATTCTTAAATATTATGATAAACAACTATCATACCGTCATAACAACTTTCAAAATAACAACTTTCAAAATAACAATTATTTGTTAAAAGAATAATCTTAAATAAAATCTACCGCTTGTTAATATGCATTAAGTGTATATTGTCTGAATAAAAAAAAAAGTAAAGTACATAAAATATATATAATATTAAATAAAATCTACCGCTTACTAATACTGATTATGCAACAAAAACCTCTTAAAACTGAATAAAAAAAAGTAAAACACATAAACGAATGATGTAAATGAAAAACATATAAAAAACATTAAATAATTATATTTGATATTTGATAGTTATCCGGGGTTCTATTTTAATTTGTTTATTCGAGCAAAAATAAAAAAAAATGTTATAAAATGTGAACGAACAAAATGTAAAAAAATTATATTAAATCGTATATTCGGATAAGATGTCAAAAATATTAAAATATTTTTAAAGCACAAAAACAAAGATAAATATATAAAGCTAAGAATTATATATATTATATATATATATATATATATATATATATATATAATTTAAAAAAAATAAATATAAGTTTATAAGAAATCTATACAAATTCTTTTAAAATAAAGAAAAAATAAAATTGTTATATAATAATAATAATAATAATAATAGTAATAAATTGTTAAAAGAAAATGAAAAAGAAAAAGGAATAATAAGTTAGTCTTTCTATATGAACCAATGACTAAAAGTGTAATATTCATAAACCACAGAGATTCAATCTATCAAGTTTTAAACTTAGGGACCAAAACTATGAATCTGACCAAAGCGTATGAACAATTTCTGTAATTTACTTTTTTGTTATTTATTTATTCATTTAATAAAATATTTTGATTTTTATATTTTATTTATCATATTCTCTTAACTTCAATTAAAATAATAGATTAATTTTAAAATAAAAAAAAATGAAAAACATAAATAAAAATATTACTTATCAAAATAGAGATTTTATATGCACCGAATAAAAGTAAGTTAAGTAGTTTTTGATAGGCCTGACAATTGGGTTGGGTTCGGGTTGACGGGTTGGCGGATCAGAATACATTGACCCAACCCAACCCATATAATATATGGGTTGGTAGGTTGGCGGGTCACGGATTCGCGGGTTGAAAACATCAACCCAACCCAACTCATATAACCCGTATAAGTATATGACTTTGTGGGTTCGTGGGTTAGTGGGTCGAACCCAACCCATATAACCCATTTAATATGCAACACATTTTAAAATGAAATTAAAAAATACAAATAAAATAAATTCATGAAGACTTAAATATTCAACATAAAGTCCTAAACAGAGTGGCGACGACGAGTGGTGTGCGACAGCCGGAGGACGAGAAGATGAGTGGTATGCGTGCGACACGGCAACAGTCGATGACTCGATGTCTCAATCGAGGGAGACGGGAGGCACAGAGTCGTGAGTTTGGAGACTAAAGACTGAATTTCTTTTTGATTAGGGGCTTCTTAAGGGCTAGGACACGCTAGGTCGACTCGAAGATGTTTTGCAGTTTTGGAATTCGGAAAACGATTAAACGATAATCAAATATTCAAAACTGATAAATAATTAAATATATTTTTTAAACATAATATATATATATATATATATATATATATTATATATATATATATATATAGAGAGAGAGAGAGAGAGAGAGAGCTAGGTTCAAATGTTTTTAGCAAGTATTGTGTGCCTAAATGCTCCAATCAGAATTTAGGAAAAAAGAAATCATTAATTAAATAATAAGGGGTAGCTTAGTCATTTTACCTTTATAAACCAAAAATAAATGTTGTATATTTTGGAAAATCATTAAATGAATATCACAGATATCCTTTTTAAATCGTTCTTTCATCTCACTAACCCTAATCCCTTCTCTTTTCTTTTTTCTCTCGCTCTCTCTTCTCGCCCTTTACGATCCGTTTCTTTAATCAAGGATTTGGAGGGAGAGAAAATTACACTCGCAGAAGGATCGGTAATGGCGAAGGGCGTGAGTTCGGCAGCCGTGCAAGCAGAACAACTTAAGCAAGATGGAAACCTCTATTTCAAGAAGAATCGGTTGGGAGCCGCCATCGATGCTTATACCGAGGTATTCTCACAATTGGATTTGTTTTAAACCCGATCATTTTGTGATCGTGATCTGTTTGATGATATGATGCTTTCTTCCTCTTGGTTTTTCAAATTTCCAGGCGATCACTTTCTGCCCTGATGTTCCCGTTTATTGGATTTCGTTTTGGCCGTTGATAGGAGAACTCGGTTTGTGCTACGGTTCGATTTAGGTGATTAGGGTTGTTTCTTGGCAACAAACCCACTAACAACACCACTGATTTTGCTGTTGGAATCGCCTTCAGTCGGAGTGAAAAGTGTGTTTATCGGTTTTGAATACAAAACCTTTGTTGAAGTGGGTTTCCTAAAGTGATAGGAAGATTTCGTTGTCAAAAGGGCATGTACGTGGACGAAATTGATCTAAACGCACACATATATGTATGTATTTCAATTTCAAGTTTTTCATCCCTGTTGTTTCATTTTTTAAATCACAGTTGTATGAAATTCTTTTAATTTATTGGATTGCTGGAAAGAGAAAGGAATAAACAAACGTAGAGATACAGTTGCACATTTGAGAACTAACGTAATAGTGTCAGACTTTGCTAAAAGGCACCAGTGAATTGCATTCTGTTGACACCCTTGATTTCAGGTGTGTCTACCAATCCTCTAGAGCTTCAAATTTGCAAAAGTGATGGCATCTTTAAGGACATAGTTTATATCTTTTCATTATATTAATGGTACTATGTTGACATTTTGGTCATTTTTACAGGGAACTTATCAAGTTGCTAAATGGAATGGGGCAATAGTTTCAGTGAAGATAGTAGATAAGGATAGCTATTCTGACCCTGAAAGTATGTATGTATTTATACCTTCTTTTTCTATAATTTTAAGAAAATTACTTCATTGTCATTTGTATTTTGAACCCATTTGGCTTTTAGTAATGCAGAAAGTGTTTTGACATTAGTTAACTTTGTTGGAGAAGATCAGACATCCTGTTGTACTTAAGTTTGTTGGAGCAATTACCCAAAATATTTCCAAAGTCTGTTGTACTCTTTGTTCAGAAAGATTTGTGATCTTTAAAAAATACATAATAATATTCCAAAGTACTATCCTCTGTGTTAGCTACAATGTAGTCATTGTAATTAGATTAAGTCGATAATTTGGATCTGGTGACTCGGGGAATACTTGATCAAGTGACTCGAGTACATTCTGTTAGAATAAATTAAAAGTCTTTAATGTCTAACACATTCTGTTAGAATTATAGTTTTATTCTGCTAGAATATACTGAAAGTTATACTATTTTAAAGTTGATTATGTTTTTTTTTGGATTTAGGTTTTGAAGGGGCTGCCATTGATGTGGAAAATGAAGAAAACATGGAGAACGAGAGTATTCTAGCAGAATGTTGTTATTTTTTAAGAATGTTATTCATTTTTGTTGATATTCTTTTAGAATATTTTATAACTATATTAAAATGTATAAGACTTTTAGTCTGTAAGAATATGTATGAATTTGTATTTAAGTTCGGATATATAAGAATATATCAGAATGTTTGTTAATTTCAACATTTGGTTCAAGAATTTTGTTTTTCTTCAATAATATTCTATTAGAATAAAATTCTGAAAGAGTATCATTCTAACAAAAAATATTCTGACAGAATAAAATCGGTAAAAATTGAAATTGAATTAATTAAAAAATTCAGATTTTTTTAAATTAGGAGAATTAATCATCCCAAAAAATTCGAAAATTTCCTTTTATAAATGTAGTTAATTGTCCAAAATACCCTTTTGCTAAAAATTGTGTGATTATATGGTACATGTTACCCCATTGTAATATCATACATTCTCAAATCATGTCCATTGATTAATTTCATCCGTTGGTCCAGATCTGTGCATTCTGGCACACAATACTTAGTAAAAACAAAATAACCTACCCCTCTTATATATATATATCTTATATATATATATATATATATCTATATATATATATATATATATATATATATATATATATATATATATATATATATATGGCGGGTTGACCCGCGAATCCAAACAGATAACCCAACCCAACCCATTAAATAAACGGGTTGGCGGGTTGGTGGGTTGGCGGGTCAAAAATCTCAACTCAAACCCGTTTATTTTCGTATTGGGTCAGTATCGGGTTACGGGTTGAGTTGAAGATTGTCACCCCTAGTTTTTTAGTTAAAACCAAAATATTCCATTAAGACTCAAGTTGTTATTGGTCGTTTATAAATAAAAATAGATGTCACTATTCATTTAAGAAAACAGGCTGTCAGATAGAAGTTTGATAACTAGTAAGTTGACTTCTATTATAAAATGACTGTTGACTAATGACCATATGTGACGTTAACATATGGCGGTGGTTGGGCTTATTCGATCGACCCATAGACCAACTTCCGACCGTGATGGTGGCCCGGTGGCTTTTCTAATTATGTCTCGCATACATCAAAGATAAAATAGAGTGCATAAGTGCATAACAAACCTTGTCCACAACTATTTGTTTTAGAAATAATCACAATGACAAACATTAATTGGAACTTATTTCTTTATAATCAGTCTTTGAGGTATTCAAAAAAGCTCACGGTAATATATTTTTTATTTTGTGCATATTTACTATTTAGATACTGAAATATATTTTTTTCGTATTTTATTATTTAACTTGTTTCTTTATACATATTCGGTCTTTATACATGTTCAGGTCTTTATAACCGTTTATTCGGTCTTTATAACCATTTAGTCATTAATATTTCTATATACATTCAAATTTTATGATAAATTTTTTCAAGTTTTATTCAGGACATCCATATTGGAACAATTATTAATGATGTGTTCTCATACGTCACTCATCTCTTACTTATATCAATAACTTAATTAATGAATGACTCAAATAATGTTGGTGTCATAGTTTTTTCCAAGGAGAATATGTGTTGCGGTTTGATTTTATCTATCTTCATAGCAGACAACGAAATTTTTTATGATTGTTGTCTCAAAACTTTTTGTCATGGTGTTCTTTTGTTTTAGAATTACATATTCGAGTTGGAAGGAAGCAATCACAAGTAATCTAGTTATCTGCTATGAAGATAGATGAAACTGAAGGGAACATATCTTCTACTTAGAGAAAATGGTCACCAACATTATTTGACTGATTCGTGAATTAGGTTATAGATCTAAGTGAATGACAAACCACGTATGAGGACACCTCATTAATTATTGTCATACGTAGGATGTTGTGAGCAAAATCTAAAGAAATGGGTCAGAAAGACTGAATGTCATACAAAAACATTAAGGAAGAAATGTGTACAAATTGAAAATAAGATTACCCTATTAAATTGTTTTTTCAGGCCTAACTCGGAGTAGACGGTTATAAGGACTATATATGTATAAAAAAAATAAGTTAACTGGTCGAATATGGACAAAAAAAAATTCAATGATTACATGTGTACAAAAAAAAAAAATTCAATGATTACATGTGTACAAAATGAAAACTATATTACCCTATTAAGCCAGTATCCCTTAATAAACATAACCATGATATTAAAAATTAGACATTTGGACTTGATCAAATATGTTTCAAACTAACTTTGTGTTACATGTGTGAATGATTTTAAATTTGGAAAATTTTATCACTTTTATCCATATGAGGATTTTATGTTTGTTTACGTCTAAAGTTGCCAAAAAAAATAAAAATTATTTTTGTCATTGTTACATGTAATAATAGTTTTCAGGAGGATAAATGAAAATTCAATGGATATATACTATATATATTTCCAAATCTTTTATGTTTTTACCTCAAATATGATTCTTTTTCATAGTATATGTACCAATGCAGAAAAAATGTATTTATACACGTACTTTTTTAACTAAACATCATACCTTTTAAAGTATAAATACATATTTTCACGTCTTTTATAAATAAGATATATTTTTCAAAAATATTTTATTATTTTTTAGAAATATAGATACGTATGTTTACATATTTTAAAGTATATCAATCAAAATCGTGTATATAACAATATAGGAAAAAACAAATATACTTATCCTTCTAAAAACATAAATATACATATGCATACTTGTATAGATGTATAAATACGTATTTATTAACCTTCTAAAAAATTAGAATGTGACTTTTTAATAAAAAAAAATACATATTTATGCTTCTTAAAATATGTATTTATATGGCTCTAATATATGGAACAATACATATATGTACTTCTATAAAAGTATAATTACATATTTATACTTCTAAAAATAATTATACTTCTAAAAAAATGTATTAATATCTATTTATGTTTCTAAAAATATGTATTTATACTTATATATATATATAATATATATATATATATATATATCTATATATATTATATATATATATATATATATATCTACACACACGTTTTTAGAAGGATAACTATATTTTTGTCATATGAACATGTTTTTTATTAATATATTTCTACATATGTCAAAATACATATCTATACTTCTAAAAAGCATATTATTAATTCTAAAAAATGTATTTATAATTATAAAGAATATAAAAATATGATATTTAGTTAAAAATCATGGATAAGTACATTTTTTCTACATAAATATGCGTATAATATGAGAAAGAACATACTTAATGTAAAAACATAAAAGATTTGCAAAGTTTTTGTTTGATTTAGCAAATTTTATTTCATGGTAACCTCCAAAATCTGTTATTACAAGTCATGTAAATTATTTTGGACTAGAAAGACATTTGTCTTTTAGCCAAAAGCCAAAGTTTTATTTTTATAAAAGAAGTTTACGAAATTTATAAACTTTTGTCTTCATTTATATCATATAAGAATGAATAAAGAAGCATGATCTTTTGATTATTTAAATCAAAAGAAAGCATGGCTTAAAGTTATGGGGAACAATAGGGACATGGTAGGTCTTAAAGTGTTAAGACCTTATGGGTATTACCTTTTCTTTAAGACCATAACATGAAGGCTTTCATTTTTGGTGCTTTTTTTTTTAGTGTAAAAAACCATGAACTCTCTCCCCCTCTTACTTCTCTCTAGTTTTTGGTTAAAAACTTGAAGAAAACTTGCTTATCTTTTGCTCTCTTGAAGTTCATATTGGTTATGAACTTCAAGCTTAAGAATTAAGAGTTTATGGACTAACATCTACATCAAGTTGAGTCATTGTTGGTGTCTCAAATGTTCCAAATTCTTCATCAACTTCCAAGCCTCCCAAGAGGACCCAAAGAACAACAAAGTTTGTTATTTCATCATCCTTTCTTTGGTTGGTGTTTAAATCTTTCTATAACTTGCAAGATGATCCTTGGTGGGTATAATTAGCTTATGTTATTTTGAATAATCAAGTCTTCCGTTGCCATATTTTATAGTTTATGAAACTAATTTTGAAATAAAACCCAACAATTGGTATTAGAGCCACCTTGCAAGTTTGATTAGATTTTTTGATTTTTGGAAATCTTAGTTTTTGGAGAATATGGATAACTTGTTTTTGTATAAATACATATTTTCTATGACAACTTTATATTTGTTATTTTATGTGACAAAAGTTTCATGCATATTTTGTTATTTAAAAGTTGACTTAGAAAAACAAAAATTGTTTATATGTATATTGATATGTATTATGTGTATAAACTAGCCAATGACCATTATGATTGTTGTGTTTGTTGTTTTTATTATAAAAATGGTTGTGATAATTTATTTATTCATATAGTATGTAACAATTAAATAGATTAGTTTTTCTTGTTTATTTTTGTAAAGTAATAGATTACTTTTTAGAAATAATTTATTTG